AAGGACTTGTGTCGCTAGAATTTCAGTCGGAACGAAGTTACGGAAAATCAGTTAACGACTGGTGGCGTAACAGTGATAATAGTATTGTTAGGACAGCTGAAGTCTCGTGACGCTGGGAGCAGGCGCGCTGGAATTTCTTTATTGATGATTAAGGCCCGAATGCATTCGAGACGCCCTCTTTTTAGCATATAAGCCTGGCGAATAAAACCAGCAGGGATTGAAGAGATAGATAATTGAGTCAAGCAAACAGTAGGCACCGTAAGTAAAGTGTGTGTATCACTGTGATTTATAGCGTGCGTTATAAAAGTTGTTAAGTGTATTACAAAGTTTGTACCGAGAAAGAATAAACTAGTTTTAATCAAGAAAGGACTTATATCGCTGATGTTTATCGGAAATAATTTTTACGGGAAATTAACAAACAAGCAGATACGCAACAATATATTAATATCTTCTATTCTAGGTATATTGCAACCGTGGGTACAATATAACACTGTAACTGTAATGAATAAATATTAGCTTATTTGTATGCTTTTATAAGAGATTTAAAAAGTATTTAATAAAAAATATCGTTGGTATTATTATATATGTAGCATTGATGAGTTTGAAGTAGTTTGATCACATGACGTCATTTAGAAGGACCTATAATCCCACTGAATTTAGTTTCTTATTCATTCAATTTCGTATTCATGGTGTAGTAAAGGAAGGTACCATACGTTTGCTGCTCTTCTCAGTTAGTTACTTCCATGTTAAATTCTGAGAAGATTAATGGAACTATCCATTAGTTCCAGGTCTCATTTATATTCAATAATAGCTAGAGATTCTTGAACTGCAAGAGTTCGCTCATCAAAAGCACTGAATATTTGATTACAAGAAACACTTTTGGAAAATAAAGTTTGTAGATGGCTTAAATGGGCAATGAAATAAACTTTATTATAAGTAACAAATGTACAACATTATGACAAAATCTTATTGAAATGTTATACATTTGCTACTTGTAATACAGTTTTTTTCATTATACTTAAAATTTATTCTTACTTTAGCACAACAGTGTTTTCGGTTGGCAAATCGGGTAATGGCTCAGACTTCTTAAGATATAGATTTGTGCATGGACTCTTTCTTTGTGTTGGAATTCAGAGAAACACAAACCCATAATCTTTAATTCCGTATGTGTCAGACCCCTTGCTTAGTGGCCATACCCATTTACTCTGCTGGAAATTAGTACACTGAAGAATATCACTTAGTAAGCAAGAAGGAAAAATTTTGGCTCATCTACTGTGAATACTGTTTCTGTGAAAGTTTTTAATTTCTACGTTGGTGTATAACCAGATTCTCATATACTCTAAAGAATACACATAACCTTTCAAACAGGTCAAAGGGTGCACAAGTCAGAAGAAGAGTTGGAAGCAGAGTCAGTGTGGTCAGGTCTGGGGGAAGTATTCTCCTAGATCTCTTAATTTTGCCAGTACCATGGAAATCTCTGACAGTCATCACCTAATAGCTATTAGCCCAATCTTCACACAAACAGCACAAGAATGGAGCTAGAAGCCATGAAGCAAGCGCTGCACTGAATTGCTGAAATCAATAAAATATCAACAGACATTGACACCAGCAAAATATTTTCAACTGACTCACAGGCTGTACTGTATGAAATTCAGAGTGGCTGGTCCCCAGATGGAGGCAGAAAGCAAAGCAGCTGCATGTTTAGACCATCACCTGAAGGAGAACAAATTCTCAAAACAAACTTCTATATCAAATCTGACACAACTCTTTTGGCAAGATATTGACTTCTTCTCCACTAGTAAAGTGAAAATGAAAGGTGATGGTCCACCATGTTCCTTAAGCAGGTAATAACATGTTTTTCTGCTTCACTCTCTACCCAGTCTATACATCGCTTATCCATGGTGTAGATCAGTGTTCGGCAACCTATGACTGAAATCGGCAATAATATGACTGACCTGCCAAAAGTTGGCTTCACTATTGCAACCAATGAGGGCACAATTATTGCTCAGTTCATATTTCTCGGCTATGTGAGAAGAACAAAGATATTAAAGGAAAGACGGGAAAGA